CCTGATGCAATGCTGTTTAATTAAATGATATTAAATCAAGTCTAACATGATTTGGCCAAATATAACTTGATTTCATTGAATTAAATTTGATTTGATTCAATAATGAATGAACTCTGTCACTCGTTTCTTTTCTAATTTTTATGTAGGTTGCTCATTAAAATTTTTATATTTTAATCTGACACAATTGAAAAAAGAAAACAACTCGATAAATTCAAAGATAAAAAACTTTGGATTATTATTATAAAAAGATGTATTTTTAATAGTAATAATATTTAATTTATTATTCAAACTTGTTCTCTTAACTTTCTTCCTCGAAAAAGAACTACATCTTTTATCAGAGATTCTTTTCCATTTTCTAAATTCCTATACTCCATTCTATTTCAATCCCATCTTACCAATCCATCCAAAATTACAATTTACAATTCTTAAAAGAAAAAACTCCACTTCTTTAAAAAAAATCATCCTAAAAAATCTTTCTCAAGATCCTCTTTCATCAATCTTCGAGCAATCACACTCTGCTCGATTTTAACCCCAATTACATCCATCCCTAACCATCGTACCATCGAATCATCGATCCTTCGTATCGAGGGTGGAAAAATACACGTTTCGTTTCTCGAAACCGGGATCTCCTTTTCCCTGAGGAGGCCGCATCAAGCGTTTTCATTTTTTTTTTTTTTTTAAGCCGCTTTCCACGGCGAACAGAGGCCGAGGCGGAAGCGGATCGCGTGCGGAGAGGCTACCGCTCTCCAGCTTCATCCGGATTTCGTTCTCCTTCCTCTTTCGTTCCTCGCCTTCCACCACGCGCTTGTTGACCCAGCTCCTCTCGATTCTCATCGAGAGGAAAATAAACGAGCCACTTCATTCGTGATTTCGCGGCGAGGATTTTATTGGCGTCCTTTCTCGTGGCTATTTCTTTATCTGAACGGTGGCCGCTTTTACTGTTGTATAGAGGGTGTTTCGAAAAGATCCTAGTGACAAATTGATATTGTTATTCGTCGATTTATTTTAAAACGAGATTCGTCGAATGGAAGATGTTTAATCGATATCGTATCGATTCGTTCTTTTGCTATTTAATTTAAGCAGAAAATAGAGGTAAAAATTTAAAAATAAAGGTAAAAACATTTATATCGATGACAATGAAATATTTAGGATAAATAATGCATTCTAATTAAATTAAATAGTGAGATCTAATTATTTATCAGATACTTATCTTTATAATTGTAAACTGGGGATTAGTGTTTTTCAGGTATAGGCTAATCACTTGGGTGTAGTCAAGATATATTCATGAGGTTCAGCATGACACTAACATCCCCTGATATGACCTCCACTGTAATAGTGGCCAAGACACGGGTCTGGAACCATTACTAATATATCCACTAACATAAACGCATCTATATATATATATCCCTCTTTCAGAGTAACAATATTATAAAATCATTTGTATAACTGCATTGTGACGCTGAGTAATTGTTCAGCAACGGAAACTCGAATGACGTTCAATTAATTATTAAAATGTAAGTTATTATTAGAATGCAAAAATTTATGCGTTTATTATTTTATCATTCTTTTTTTTTTTACTGATGTAAAATCTAAAGAAAAATTAAATACATAAGTAAATTTTTTTCTTTCTTATTTCTTTCTTATTGGTTATATTAGATATAGACAGAATTATAAAATTATAAATTGTCAATGTTTCGACTTGTAATGTTTGGTTTGAATATCCACGTTGACGAGGGTTAAAACCTCAAAGACTTTAACCTACGATTATGAATCCTTTACAGTGTCTTTGGCAAATTCCTTGGGAAAATTGTGGCCAGTGCGCTGGTTCGAGCCGTAAGCATAAGCTTCAAATGATCTCCTTGGAGGGATTATCGTCCCTTTGATCTCTCTATGATCTCTCTATGATCTCTCTATGATAGTGCTTAGGTATTACCAACTTCATCAATCCTCGTCATTTCGTAACCCACATATTGTTTCTGGAAGACAATCAATTTTAATCACAAAGATTAAAGTGATTTTTTTTATTATAAAAAATTTTATCATTTTCTCTATATATAATCTTTTAAAACAAAGGTGGAACAAATTTTTTAGATGAAAAAAATAAAAATGGAAAAGTAATTCTTTTAAATTTATTAATTTTTAGAAACTTAATGATTATTTTATCCAGATAATAATAACAAGATTTTGTAGATTTTCAAAGATGGTCCATCCTTTATATCAATAATTTCTTCTTGAAATCAACCAAGTAATAACCATTGAAAAAAAAAAAAGGAGAAATAAAAGAAAAACACTTATCTTTTCCTGCCACGCGGAAAATCTCTTCCTTGCCGTAAACCCTCCTGACCGAAACGAAAAAAGTCTCCAATACCTCAAGTCTGTCTTGCAAGGGTTCCTCCGTAAGCGAACGAGATTATGCTACGGTTCCCATTTATTTCTCAGATACGAAATTTGCGAGGCAAAGCTGTCCCATTCGTCGGATCGACAGCTCGACTTTTCGAGCTTCAACCTTCCCTCCCTCGCTTTTTTCGCCATGGATTCGGAAATTCGCATCGCAGACTCGTGGAATTCGTCGATTTCTCGGGACCGGTGGAGGATTCGATCTATCGACGCCATTCGTCGGAACCATCACGAGATATTCCCGGCAAAGGGTTGGGAAACGTTCGAAATGACTATGCGAAATGGATGTTCCCCGAAGGAATCGAAATGATTGAAATCGTTGATCGATGCTCCTCTTGGTTGATCATTTCCATTTCGCTCTGATAATTGCTCCGTTGTGCGTACGTATTCCACGTTTTTATTTTGAATCGTTGAACGATTATATTTTATGGAAATTATTTAAATTGTATATTTGTATATTTAAAGTGTAATTCTTCCTTTTGAATGATACTTTAAATTATCACAAGATAAGATATATTTGTTTTCAAAAGAAATTGCAGAAATTATGAATGAGCTTGCAGTGAAAATATTTTTTTATTCTCTTTACCATGAGCTATTGTTTCACATATTAAGTCAATTCTCATAAGATCAATTCAATCATCTCAATGTTCATAAACAGCTTCATATATCAAACTTCTCAAAAGGAAACTTTTCTTTTCAACTAGAAGAAAAATTAATCATCCCCTTATCCCTTTAAAATCAATCTTCCAACTATCTCATCTACTCTTACAATCAGGCGCAAAGAAACTTGACCGGAAGAAGCCTTCTGCTTCCCTTTCTTTTGGAAAACAGAGCAACGGAGGGTGGTCTGGTATCCGGGGTTGTAATCAGCAGTTGGTCCGGCGAAAAAGTTGCGCCGCGTCTCTGTGACGCAGAGATTCGTCTTATCTTCCGGCGGACGATTATATACGTTGCAGATGGCGCGTCGGGGATGGTGGTGTAGAGCCGCGTAGACAGTTGGAAACTCGATCTTTTTCTGTCAAGAACTTTCCACGGGATTCTCGGCTGCAATTTCAGTCCGCGAAACGAGTTTCCTCTTCCCTCTCCTCTTCCTTTTCCTCCAATGTGCGCCACGTGTTTCCCTATAGATCTTCATCGAGTTGTCTGGCCTTAGTTCGACGAGAAAGCTATACTCGATGCCCTGGCGGAATTTTGTAATATGTATTAATTCTCGATGCTGTCCAATAACTGATTTGATTTTCAGAATTGATAACAATCCTGTTTGATTATTTATTTAATTTTGAATTTTGGAATTTTGTTTATTTTTTTGAATCTGACAAGATTATATCTGAATTTGTTTAAAAATAGTAATTCTCATTATATTTAATTGTAAAAGTTTCAAAATTCCATTTAAACATCATTTTGGGTATGAAAAAATTAATTCTAAATCAGTGCTTATTTTGAAATTCTCTATTTAATATTTATGTATCAAAAGTTTAATTTTGAATTTATTGTATAAATAATTTTCTTTATATTCTCTTTTTGATTGAATGAAATAGAATACAAAGTAGATAGTAGATAAAGAAGTGTCAAAAACAAATCTGTTGATTTGAAAAAGAAAAAAATTAGAGAACTTTAAATTAAATTTTTAGATTTGCAATTGTATTGGCATATATAATTATCACCTTTAATACTCGCAATGGAATACATCATTTTCCTTTCATATGTAGATTCAATGTTAATTCCGGCATGAGTCAAAGTTTGATAGAAACAAACGAATCGTGGTCGCGTCGAGTGGCTAGATTAGTTCTGTTAATAGGAATATTTAGGTAACGCGACACGTAGGAATCGTGGTAATTATTACTCTGATGAGAATATTATCTGGAAGCATGTTGGCGTTGCTTGACGAAACTTAGATTTCTGAGTTGGGTTTCATAGCAACTTCTGTATGCATGCGGGCCGCAGATTGCTCGGCTGAATGTCCTCGATTGCTCAGTTTCGTTCCCTGTATTACGTCATAAACGACGGATGTAATACCGGATATAAAAGATCCTTTATATCCGTTGGTCTCGACGAAACATGATTTTTTAGTTTTCCTGTTCGAGACATGAAATTGTGGAGACGAGGATTATGGACGATTTTTCTCTTTGATTTTTTTGGTTTCTGTGGATTAAAAGCAAGTTTAGAAAATTTTTCGAGTTTATTATATTCTAATAGTGAATAAGGATTACCTTATATAATGTTCAGTCTGTTGAAATATGAATTCGATATTTTGAAATATGGCAAAAAATTATTGTTTTTGTCGATTTTACGAGTTTTTATTTCCGTAAGCTATTGAAATCTGAATTTGATATTTCTGTTTGAATGTTTATGGATTTGATATTTATGATATTTTTAAAAGGCTTCTGTAGTACATATGATACTTAACCTACTGAAATTTGATTTCTTTAAATATGATAAAAAACTATTGTTTTTAATTCTATTTCCATTTCATATATTTTTATTTTTTCAATAATGTTTTGTAAAGATGATTAAAATATAGAAATAACATAATTTGAAAAATCAAACTTAAAAATTTGAATAAAAATAGCAAATCATTTTTTTTCATTAATTATTATAACTTTTTCAATAGTGAGTTTCGGAAATATTTCTTTTCCTAGATTGAAAAATGGGATATATAGTTTTTATATGATGTATTATTATCGAGACATATTGGAAAAATTAGATTGTTCTACTTACAAGTTTTCTTCGTCAGAAAAAGTCATCCATATATCTATCGACATCTTTTCTATTCCTTTACCTTTGACATTTTCTATTACACAAGAATTCAAATATAAACGGTTATCGATACAATTTATTCATGTATAAGAAAATTGTATATAAATTTATTATAAAATCAAATCATTTTTGAAATTATATTCTATTACAAGTAACTTCGAATATTTCGAATAACTTCGAATATTGTGAAAAAAGATTAAATTGTTTAAAATTTTAGCTGGAAGTATAAAAAGTAAAGAAAAATATAACATAAGTATATATCTCTACAGTTTATCTAGAATGATTTAAAATAGTGTAACATTAAAAAATTATTATAAAGACAATTCATCAGAATACAATTCTTAAAGATTCTTCGTTATAGCTATCATTCAAATTAAGAAATTCCATTTCCATTAATCATTATGTTGCTAAAATAATTTTTCATAATTCTTTATCTAACTTCATCCATTCCATCATCAACTAAATACAAAATAAATAACGTCTCCTTCCATATCATAACTTTCTATCATCTGTCCCCAAAACCTCCTGTCCCAATCGAAATCTGTATTTCAACGCATCCAGTTCTCTCAAACAACTAACCCAATTCCAAACAAACCACTCAATTTCCCAAAAACCACCTTAACCTGTACGATACAACCACCAACAACCAATCCCTAAAATGCAAATCCACGAGCTTCCTCGTTCCCGCGTCCAGAGGAGAGGAAGATATACTCGTATACACGCCGCCATTTCTCACGAAATATCCGCGTACATGTGCACACTCACCATCGACTCTGTTAAACGCATTCGCATATATTGAACACGATGAGAGGCCGAGATGGACACCATCCCGTCCCATAGAGATCCGCACGGTCCAACGACGTGTAAACGGCTTAAGCCATTACATCGGCCGGCTGCTCAGGCGCGTGTACACGTTAATTCCGCTGTATCGCGGCGTATGATCGTGGAATTTACATAACGTAACCGCCGTCGAGTGCATGAACGACCCGTGTGCAGGACCAATTATTACAGGTGGGCCCGAAAACGATTCGCGCCGATACTTGCAGCGATGATGGTGGAGAGTTGAAACACTATTCTAGAGAACATGTACGCTATCTATAGGCTGAAATTCGCGTTTCAGGATTTGGAATACGTGAGTTGGCTCTCTGTGTACGAGGTTGGAATGGTTAAGCCACCATGTAGCGGCCGAACAGAATGCTTGGAAATGTGAGCCACACGTGCGATTAGGGGATGAGCGGCTTAATTCGTTTGATAAGTACATTTTGCATTGCATAATGAGGAATGCGTGCTCATCTTAGGCTAAAGGATATTCTAATGCATTGAGTTTAGTGGATGTCATATGCAATAGGTGATTTGTTGGTTAGATATTTATCGAATCTGTGCGTTTTTCAACGCAATAGAATATTAAAAATATTAAGAATTACACACTAATAAATGGTAATAATTATTAGATTCAATATCAAATGATTTATTGATATATTTTTATAATATAAAATAAAAATAAAATAGAATGAAGTCAGTAATATAGTATTGCGATAGTATCGAACGAGTGTATGCGATAATATCGAACGAGTATATACGATAGTATCGAACAAAATGTATGACGTATTTTGTTCATTTTTCATACATATAAATATAATTTATTATAATATATAATTTATTATATATATAATTATATATACATATATTATATGCAGTTTTAGATTACGGGACGTTATGAATCATTTGTAATAATTATCATATGCATTAATTTATCGTGTATTTTTATAATATAAAAAGTAAAATGATTGACATGGTAGTGTATTTCATAGTATGACATCCGTAGTGTTTCTATACATATTTATTGATTTAATGATATATTTTTACAATTTATTTGCAAAGATTTGAACTAATCACAAATAATCTGTTATTTAGATCTCGATCAAAAGGTACATTGCTGCTACAAAGACTCATAAAAGATTCAGAAGGATCGATCATGTGGTTTCGCAATACGTGTTCTTTGACACAAAGAATAGAAGAATAAAGCAGAATAAGTGAGTGCATCGATACATACGAGATTCGTCTACACGTTATTGTTTCCAATGGTGCATTGTTGTGGCGAGTGTAATTGGAATTATCAGTGAATTTCTCGGTTTCCGGGAGAAATCGGTAAATAGAAAGATTTTTAGAAGAGGAAAACGTGTTCCCTGAATAATTATACAATTGTTTCTACAATTCCTACATGTGTTTGAATTTTGAGTTTCGACTGGAAAGTTTGAGACTTGGGGGTTGGACGATTTGACCAATGTTGAAGGAGGTTTCATGCGTTCAATTTGTCAGAAATTAGGATAATTACAGTGTTTCAAAGTGTTTCCCGGTTTGTTATACGATTGTTTCTATGACTTTACTTGTATTTGAATTTTGAGTTTTGGCTGTGGAGTTAGAGAATTTAGTTTAGATAGTTTGGACCGATGGACATTGAAGGACGTTTTGTGCATTCGATTTAGTGGAAATGATAAAAAAAAAATTAAAAAATTTTGTTTTTTAAACTGAAAGATAACCAATTTTTTCAAAACTAATATATTTTTAAATTTTTATCTCAAAATTTCAGTGAAATTGAATACATTATTTAAAATTTTAGAATCGAGGATATTGATGAATACATTTTTTAAATCTCAAATTTTAATAATTTTAATAATGATTAACATTTGAAAATTAACATATTAATATTTTTAAAATAAGTCGTTTTAAAATTAAAATTGTATGCTTTTTTTTAAATTAGTATTTTCTACCCCCTTTTTAAAATCGTTATTTGAAAATTTAATAAAATGTATTATATATATTCAGAATGTGTTGCATATTAATGAAATTAGTCGAAACTCCTTTTCGAAGTCAAATCTCGATGATTTTATCGCGATTTATTTTCCGAAAAATGGCGCACCAATTCCGGGGTTTTTCATATAATATAACTCGTAGCAATCGGCGTAATCGAACGTGACAGTGTATGATAGAATTTAATCTCGTGCTCACCCGGCCATACTCTGCATTCAATAATATAGGGAAAAAACACGATTAATTCCGATCCCAATCTAGCACGTGTAACGTTTCCAACAATATCTGTCAATATTGTCGTTGTCTCTAGATTTCAACGAATCGACCGTGCGACAAATTTAATCCTACAATTTGTGCAATATATTTTTCAATTTCGTTCAAAATGTGTCCTTTCATACGTGCTATCGAGCTTTCGCTCTGATCCAATTTGTCAAACTTTTATAACGGGCGATAAATCTTTGAAGATTCGATGTTAAACAAATATAAACTGCTGTTTTTCCTTTATTGATAAATGTATAGGAAAATCGAAGCATAACGTGTGCAAGATGCATTCTAGTAAATTTCAAGATTTATACAAAATCTTTAAACTTAATTTTTATAGTAACATTATTAATATTATAACATTATTATTAATTGATCATTATTAGTCTTTTTTAATTATTATGAATGATAATACTAACAATAAAATTTTATTTTTTAGATCATCCCTGAAGGAAACTCCAACCTCTATGATTGAAATAATGTTTCCCTATCTTGAGTTGAAAGGACATCTTAAGAAATATTTGATATTTCGAAAATAATCCAAAATATTACATTTTTCGCTTGAAGCACTATACATTCACGATGAATTATTTCCCATACCATAGACCATCAAAATGAAAATCTATCCAATAAATTGAAATAAAGGTAACGGACAAACATTTTCCAATAATTCACTCGATTAATCACACAAATAATCAAAAATCCCTATCTCTAAAAAACATCTCTAACCCCTGCCCTGTCAAATTTGTATTTTTCATGGCCGCCTAAAACGGACATCACACACAACCGTTCATAAACTCTTCATCCCTCCACCATTGAATCAATTCTCTGGATAACCGACGACCGTATTCGCGGTAATAACGATGGCCCGTTACGAAATAACAGGCGAGGTAACGGTATATAACGCGACGTGGCGTGATCGAGTATATACGACTGTGCGAGGGTGGAATGATGCGTGGATTATGCGCGCGCGAGTTGCCCCATAGACGCGCGTTCTCGCGCTAATAAACGTGCGCGGCGGGGCTAACGATTACGAGCGGAGGTTCCGTATTGTTCGCCACTCGGAAACAATGCAACAATGGCATGGCTCGAGTGATTTAGCGGAACCCGGCCGTGTTACGTCCCCCCTGCAATGATACTTTTGACGGCTCGCTGTTACCCGAAGTCGAATAAATCGGGGTACATTTATGAGGGGATGTTGTTAAAGGTGCGTGGATTTTAAAGAAATTTTTTTCGGTTGAGATGTAGAGTGTATGCAAGGGTTCTTAGAATTTTCGCTGTGAGCTATCTTGGGATTTGCCCTTTTTTGTGAGAAATTTTGTATTGTGATGTTGGTTGAGGAGAATTCTTGACAGAGATTTATATTGCATTCTTATATTTTTATTTTTGTCTTTTAGAAAACATATTTTTTTAAACTCATTGGTGATATTACAAAAGATATAGGAAAAAATTAAGTTAATTTTGATTTTTGATCAAATATATCTAGTTAATTATTAAACTTTCTTCTTTTTAAAGTTATTGTTTTCTTAAATTATAAAACAAAAAGGATATCTCATATTTCTGCCTCCTCTTCCATTATTCAATTTCACATTAATTTATTTATTTTTTTTTATCATGAAATAATTTATTGACAACTCCATTACAAACAACTTACATTAAAATATTTCCATAAATTGATAATTTGAAACAATTTACACCTGAAAATTTCAATTACACTATAAAACTACCCCTCTGATTGTCAAACCTGATATTGTTCACCGATTGGCCCAGTATTCCGGTCACGATTAAGAATTCGATTTAATTCCGAATAATTATCGCATTTGCATAATCGTCCGGATGTTGAAAACTGATAGCACGAGCGACCAACCCCCTTCCTAATGACGTGTACTCGCGAGTAAGGGCTTCGATGGTGGATATCGATATTTCTGGCACGTATTATATCGCGTTACGTGATCCAAAAATTTACGTGGAACTGTGTCGCCTGTGTCGTTGAAAGAACGGGCCCGGTGAAATCGTAAAATGTGGGAAAAGTGCCATTGTACAAAAGATAGAGTTAGTCTATGAGACGTTGGATCTAAGATAATTGTTAAGGACTGACATAAAAGAAGATGTGGATTATTATAATTAATCGTGGAGAATTGTAAATCATTTGCTTGTATGTATGTATGGTATGTATTACAATTAAAATTAATAATGTAAAATTAAATTTAGGATATGTATTGCATATAAATGTATCGTTAAATCATTAATGAATTAAATAAAAAATTGACAATGGAAATTAATTAGAATAAAAGTAAAATTTTCGATACTTATTGTTCCATGCAAAAAGTAATTGAAAATATGTAGCTCGATAAATTTTTGTATATAGAAAAATTTGAAAGGAGTTATTAATACGAAGGAATTGAATATGTTATACGTTTAATGAAAATTAATGAATTTTATATTTAATCTACAGGGAAAAATATAAAAAAGAAAAAACAAAAATAAATAGCCGTTTAAATTGAAATTGAATTAACCTCCTGGATGTATTCAGTGAAAATACGTTAATTATTGAATGAAAGAAGCATTCACGTGCATCAGATATTACATCTACGAAAAATTTGCATGTACAAGCATGCTATAAAAACTCTTCCAATGTAAAATTACTTGAGAAAAGCAGGAAAACAAAAGAGAAAGAAACGGAAGAGAAGGAGAAGACTCAGATTTCTTTCATAAAATCCTTTGAAAATAACCTTTCCAAAGGAATTCACATTTCATCCTGACAATGTTGCAATATTATGAAAGGGGAAGTGTTTGAAGCACATCCTATACTTGAAGCTTTAAAAAATGTTCTTCCAGAAACAAAATTAATATATTCATTATAAGTAATAAAGTGTGAAGAAATTTACAAAGAGGGAACAAATTTCTATCTTTACAGAATTTTGTGAAATATTAAGAAACAAAAAAGAAAAGTACAACTTTCATTTTAAAAGACAAAACGACATTCTCTTGAAATATATCTCCTTATCTTAAAATTGAAAGAGAGAAATGAATTATCGCTGACGTTCAAAAAAAAGAAAAGGTAAAAAAAACCTAAAGAAATTCTTTCATTTCTCAGTTACGAAACATATATACTCGGTTTAAATGAACAGAAGAGAGTGAGTTTATCTCATTGAAGAACACAAGAAGAGACAGCCGTTGTAAAGAGATGAGACAGTCCAATTACGATGTATTTCTCGAAAGTATGACCGCAATGCTTGAGAAACAAGTTATTTTAAGCGAATTGCAGATATATATATATAAAAAAAATACGTGGAGTTTGTTAAGCAATGGAAAATGAAATCTGTGGAAGGTCTTATGATTCTCGTTGCAATGAAGTTTTAAGACGTAGATCTGTCATTCAGTAGCTACTTTCACCGGAGATTACCTTGTTGAGATATAAACGAAATATATAGCGAGAAGCGGTTTTACGTTTCGCGAATTAACCCTATTCAAGGGAATTTCCACTTTTTTTCTTCTTCATAATTTCTGTCTGCTATTTTGAAGAATTTTACACTCGTAAAAAGTTTTAAAAAAAGTACAGAATAATATAAAATATTTATGAAAAAATGTGGAACATTTTTAACCATTATTGTTAATTTTTTATTTTATTTTTTATAGGAGCTTCTTCGTTTTTGCAAGTTTATCAATTTGTGTAAGAAAAACATTTCAGTTGGATGTTAAAGTATAATTTATCATAGCATATAATTTGCAATTCAATTTGTATTCAATTAACCTCAAGTATTAAATTACATTAAATAATAATTATATTACATACAACAAATATTATGTAGCAATATTTAAAGCCTATTAAATATTATATTATACGTATGATATTGAATATCATTACTATATTAAATTATTTTATACAACATTATTGATTAATCTACTGTAATACATATTCTTAAAATGGAACTTGTCAACAATATGTATAACAATATATGTATAACAATAATAAACAATATATGTATAATGTATAACAATAATAAACTATAAACCACTTGCAAAAACTATATAATTGATTACACAAAGTGATTCAATCACGTAGTGTCGTTTAACAAAAGTTTCCCAACAATCTCTTCGACACGAACAGAGAAATGAATTCAACAATGGTCGAAAAGGATGGGGAATTCGTTCATTCAATGTAATTAACCAAGCACCAAGCTTTCTCGAAATTATGTCACTTAACCGCGCGGCAAGCAAGTTAATCACTGGAAGAACACCCGAAGAAGATGTAAATTGTCCCTCTCTCTGTGTTGTCTGTTGTTTCTTGCTCTCTTGCTTTGAATAATCCCTAGCCTCCTTCCGGTTTCCACCGCGGATTCACCGGATTTCGCGTTTCTCAGCCGCTTGCTTTCCTTCAAGTTGACGATGGAAAAAGTGGTTTCTAACAGATTGGATATTCATGAATCATCTGTCTTCGACATTGCATAAATTATTTAGAAATTTGTTGTGGTATATTGTGCCGTAGATATTTTTTTATTTTTTTTTAATTATTACTTTTATTTTTAATTATTATATATAAGAATTAATGAAATTAGGTTAATATATTAATATATTAAAAATTATAGGTTTTTTTTTATCTAATGTTCATTGTTTTTTAAAATTATTTTACATATTTATATAAGCTTTTTAGAATTGGTTAATCCACGAGACAGAAAATTACCGATTTTTTATCTTTTGACTTTATTAAAAAAGTTTCGTGTAACAGCTTTTCAGTTTCGTACATTTATGACCATTAATTTCCTCTTTTGCACAATGAGATTAAAATCGATTTAATATGGCAGATTTAAACTGCAAAATTTAACTTGCTCAACTTGTTTAATTTTCTAATTGCAGAAGAAGATATTAATATGGGAAATGTAATCATCAAACGATATATCAACCAAATCCATCAAAGAATTACAACCATAAATCCCTCGAATCGATATTTCCTTCAAGGATGGAAAATCATATTACAAAAAGAAGAAAAAAAAAAATAAAATCAGCGGTGGCAGCGTTTCTTCACGGGTGATCGAACGTATCGATAGTCATCGAGCAATTCCTCGCTACCAAACTGAAAGAAGATTATTAATCACCGGAAATTACGCTCCGCTGATTTACCAGCGAAAAATGGGGGATGAAAGTTGCTTCGAATCGGGAACAAACGGAGGTTGAGAAGGGAAGAGGAGGAAGAAAAAAAGTGAGTTGAGGAAGAGAAAAAGAGAAGAGGGAAAGAAAACGGCGGAAATGGAAGGAAGAAAGGCACCGGGTGTATACACAGAAGGACTCGCGAAGAAGTCTATAGAAAGCTGGAATAGAGGAAAAACACGAGGTGCTCTCACTTGCTCCAATTGATTCGCCAATAATTCCATCCTTCTTCAACCCTTTTCAGCCGATAAAAGAATCCTCGAGAAGGGCCATGAGCCCGTGGAGACTGGACGACAAAATCTGATTGGATTATTTGCTTACAGAGGCCCCTTCGGAAGCCTCTGT